TTCTGTAGTAACACTGGATCCTTGCTGGACCTCTAGGGAGAACAGTTTAGAACTGATAGAGCTATCCAGTATAAATAAAGTTAGTTTAGTTTAGGTTTTCTCCTGTAGTAACACTGGATCAATAAGAGATGATCCTTGCTGAACCTCTAGGAAGAACAGTTTAGAACTGACAGAGCTATCCAGTATAAATAAAGTTAGTTAATACTTTATTCATTTTCTTAGTGGATCCTAGATAATGATATTTCTGATCTTGGTTTTGATCTAACGTTTGCGGTGGAAACTGACGTGTTTGGTACAATGAGAGAGATTGATCTGAGATCAGGAGGAAGCCAACTGATGGTCAATGAAGAAAATAAAGTGAGTCATGCTCGTTTAATATTTGTCAGTGATCTCGTATTTGACTAGGGCTACGTTTTCACTGTACCGCGTATAGCTTTCTGTAGCGACGTGAAAAAACACCCATCCATACCTTTTAGGAATGCTACTTTCAGAGGAATTATTACAACAGAGAGATGTTGTTTCGCTTTAGCTTCTGAAAGTTGTACATTCTGTATCGGATAGGTGCCTTTTCCCGCCGCTATGGAAAGCTATCTGGTATAATGTAAACGTAGGTTGAGTTAATTGTAAGTTAGATGGCTGAACGCTCACCGTATATCTGTCACAAATAATGCAATAGTATTCATTTCCCCATGGACTCATCATTCTATTTCATTTTCCTTTAGCATGAGTACGTGCAGTTAGTGGCAGATCTCAAGTTAACTCGAGCAATACGACCACAGATCTGTAGTTTTCTGGATGGATTTCACGAGTTCATTCCACACTCTCTCGTCTCACTCTTTGATGAATATGAATTGGTAAGCTGCTATATTACTGTCTCTGAAGTATTGATCACAACCAGTCTACCACGAAAGTTTTCCTTTGAGGTTTAGAAAGGACCTCCTTTCGTTGTTCAATCTAAAAATTTTCTATTTCTTTTTAAAAATGTTCTATTTGTCCAATACTTTAGCAAATGAGAAAACACTCTTCTTACATGTGACTGATCAAATATTGAAAGATTTTGTAGATGAAAATTTGCGAGTATAAATTTTATAAATACAGGAATTGAACGCCGGTCACAGAGGTGAAATGCTCACTATATAACCACTGTGATACCAGCACCACTTTCACCCTTTTCTACTCCGAGGATCTTTCACTAAATGGTATATCGCCTGGCATTAGAAAAAATATAAATTCCACCCCTCCGCACCCAAATTATACAACAGGGGCCGGTTGTTCAAAGGTGGGTTAGCGCTAACCCTGGGTTAAAATTTAACCTGCTGTTTTAGTTTGTGTATTTCTGCACGTCTGTTTATTTCAAAACTTCAGAGAAGTAAACTCCTGTCGATCCAGACAAGATCTCTGAAGAAATATTTCCAAATTTTGTAGACAAGCTGTCAGGAAGTTTACTTCGAATTTTAAGTTAACCTAGGGTTAAACTAACCCAGCTTTGAACAACCGGCCCCTGAGATTCAGTAGAGTGAATACTAGAGTAATTACTAAATCTTAACTATGTTGCATCCAGGAGCTGTTGATGTCAGGTTTACCTGAGGTTGACATGAATGACTGGGAGAAAAACACGACCTATGCCAACGGCTATGATGCCGAATGTCCAGTAATTGCGGTTAGTAAATCAGATTATTCTCAATCAGTCTTTCTCACGGCCGATTTTTCCGCCGTTTGGGGGGTACTGCCTCTCCCACGTTTGAGAGTCTCCGCACCACAAAACACAACTTTTTAATATTATAGTTGTTTGTATAATGGTAAATTTACACTTACAACTTATAAAAATGGCTTTTCACGTTGTTTGAATTGTCTGGAATCTTTCACGTACCCCCAAAATGGCGGAAGGTTAATTAGATACGGTATATTGTATCAAGAGTAGAGACCTAACACTGAATATGGTAAGATTAGAACCTCATCATCAACCTGTGTATTTTTAGTGGTTTTGGAAAGTTCTGCGATCATTATCCAAGACAGACGTCGTATTGTTGTTGCAGTTTGCTACAGGAAGGTTAGCAATCTACATAATGTTTCGCCACATTTATTTCTCTAAAACATTTTAAAATTCTCAATCATGTATTTTCCTTTCAGCTCGCGCGTTCCTCTCGGTGGATTTTCTCATCTATCTGGGACAAGTGGTCCTCATCAATTCTGCATCTCAAGAGTTGAATTTAAACCAAACTTACTGCCTAGTGCGAGTACTTGGTTAGTGTATACATCGTATAGTACTCGGGTTTTCTCCTGTAGTAACACTGGATCAATAAGAGATGATTCTTACTGGACTTCTAGGAAGAACAGTTTAGAACTGATAGAGCTATCCAGTATAAATAAAGTTAGTTTAGTTTAGGTTTCCTTCTGTAGTAACACTGGATCATAAGAGATGAACCCTTCTGGACTTTTAGGAAGAACAGTTTAGAACTGATAGAGCTATACAGTATAAATAAAGTGTTTAGATTTTCTCCTGTAGTAACGCTGGATCAATAAGAGATGATCCTTACTGGACCTCTAGGTAGAACAGTTTAGAACTGATAGAGCTATCCAGTATAAATAAAGTGTTTAGGTTTTCTCCTGTAGTAACACTGGATCAATAAGAGATGATCCTTACTGGACCTCTAGGTAGAACAGTTTAGAACTGATAGAGCTATCCAGTCTTGTTGAGTGAATAACCAGTTAATTTGTATTTTCAGTTTCAACATGCTGAGATTACCAGAGTACAGATCAGAAGATGAATTGAAGGAGAGATTACTGGTAGCGTTACGATGTGGAAGTCAAGGATTTGACTTTGCCTGAAGAAAGAATTTACCAATTCCCTTTTTCAATTAACGCAAATACCTGGGCACCACTGTTCTGATAATGCAAGCGCAAAATGAAACCGTAATGACATTAATTGGATTCGGTCTATAGTCATTAAATAAACACTTTTATAATTTATTGGGAAATTGGTGGCATACGAATTGCCAAAAACTAAAAAATTCAATTTCAATGCATGAATTTGGTGTAGATGTTATTGAACCAGTAGCTCTATATGCAATTAAAATTTATATAATTTTAATTAAAAATGCAAATGAATGTACATGAATTGAAATGCAATTAATCTATGTACAATTAAAATGTGTATCAGTACAGTAATGTCTTAATTCTGAATATCAAATAAATTTCTGTAAAATATTTTTAATATGTATGCCTGTTGAGTTTTATGAAAAACCTATTCCCCCAAGAGACTTCCAGCCAATTGTCAACAGCAAACACGAACCAATCACTGATACGTGGAATGTTTTAATAACCAATGGAATGCAAGAACTTTGCATTGTTGACAGCCAATCAGAATGCAAGAATTTCCCTGTGGTTTTCAAAAGACAAAGGATAAGCTCGCACCTTCTTGATCGCCCCAACATGCACGTTGTATCGAAACTTTGAAAGTTTAAGGCGCCGTTTAACAAATACTTTGTCGCTAACATTTGAAGACCACTATGTTAAACAATTTTGGTGTATTCTTCAAGGTACGTAAAATTACGATATTGCTCTAAATTGTATGTTTATAGTTGCAATTTATCGCGAGTTATTCTATCGAACAAGAAGGCATTAAAATTGTTGACAACAATGTCGCCTTCGACTTCAAAGTTCGTATTTCTCTCGCATTTCATCGAATTGTTTTTGCTGAAAATATTAATTCTATGTTTCGGAAGGAATTAAAAACAATCTGGATAAACTTTAAAGCGGTTTTTGTATGTGTTTGTCCTGCAAAAAAGCCTTCATGTTGACAAGAATCTCGCTTCGTCTTCGTCCTTTTAAAGCTTCGACCTTTTAAAGCTTCGAACATTTTGTCTGAATTTCATCGAATTTTGTTCTTATATTTGTTTTAAAGTGGTATCCTATGTTTCTCAATAGAGTTAGGGTAATTTGGATAAACTTTAAAGCAATTTTGAGAGAGTATTTGTCAAGAATTTACTCACTTGCTCGTGAGTTTGTCAATTCAAAATGGCTCCCTAAAACGAAGCAATAATAACTTAGATTCTTTTAAACTTGGTTTGTCTACTTATATTTTATACCAAACTGGCACAAAAGTTTTACTAATGTGGTTGGAATTGTTGTTTAAAAGACAGGCATATAAAAGCCAAGCACCCCGGCTTCGCTTGACGAGTCATCAAAAGTTTTTAACAGTGGAGAGTTACGAAGTTCACTTCTTTAGTTTCATGTTATGTAATCGAAGAAGCCATTTGACAACGATAATTATTTCTTTATGTCTTCTAGGTTTTGAAGATTGCTGTACACACATGTGAGTCTAGTTGTGGTTCATGTATGCAGATGTGAAATCATGAACAGAAATGACAGGAAAAATAAGGTTAGAATCTTGCATGGTTCAATGATTTGTATGAGAAACTTAAATAATGCATATGATATTTCTTTTGTGACGATAAAAAAGGTTCCAACCTCTCACGCAGGGCAATAACCAGAAACTATATGTCTATATTGCATGCAATACAGTGCAAAAAAAATACATACAGTGCGAATTTCAATGACTATTTAGGCTTTCTAATTGGCTTCAAATTGCTACAGCAATTTCCAGCAGAAATAATACAAAGACTCAAACATTTAGGAGCTTTTAGGAGTGACTGCATAATTTTTTCATGCATATTATTCATAAGTAATTATAGTATGGTTTCTCGTGCAATTTGAAAAAAACCATACACTGGTGAGTTTTTCAAAGACTTCAAAGTGTAGTCTTTGAAAAACTCACTCGTGCATGTTTCCCCCAAATTGCATTCGAAACCATACTAATAACCTATACATAAATTATACTGCACTTTCAGCTCAAGACAATTTAAATATATACTTTTATTAAATCTACATATACACACACACACTTTAGTCGGAACATTTGAACATTCTTAACTATAGCATACTTCATGTCACAACCATCATTGGGCTTCTTGTCAGCCAGCCAATGTATATACTTCATGTTAGCACCAATCATCATCGTCATCCGAGCCCAGGCCATAAAGAGCATAAGGACTTTTGTTCCTACTCACAGCCAGATTAATCTGTTCGTTAATTTTACTGATCATTCGATCATAATATTCAGCCGAATGGCTAGTGTCTGTCTCGCCTAAGAGACCACCAAAAATTTCACTTTGTGGTCTTTCAGCCTGGGTTTCTCCTATATTTGTGTCTTTATGAGCTGAAACTTCACTTGTGCCTTTATCAGCTTGAAATGAATTGTTCGTGCGTCCCCTGTTCGAGCTCTTTTCAGATGGTAACGTCTCTCTGTTTTGTGTGTTCCTATCAGCTAGTAACCCGTCTTTAGTGCGCTTTGCTTCGTAAGGATGTTTCCCCATTTCAAGTGGTGCTTCATTAAAGCCCGTCTTTGGCTGTCCTTTGCTTCTATCAGCTTGAAAAGTAGCTCTATTATGCTTGTCCTCATAACCTTGTCTGTCTAGTTCTCTACTTACGAGCGGAGACGTGTCTTGTTCTCTGTCTATTTCAAGATCTTTGTTCCCTCGTCTTCTTGAAAACGGACTATTCCCTCTAGTCCTAGGACTCTGCCTCTCATTCCTATCCAAAGCACTCTCAGGACTCTTTTTCTCCATGCCAAAAGCATTATTGGCTACCAAACTTGTTTCAGAAGAAAACTTTGAATCCCTCGGTTCAATGCGCGTCTGACTAGCTTGAATGCTGACTGGATCCGAGAACGTCTTTACTACCGGGTACAATGTCCTATCCGGCATACCTTTTGACTTTAGATTACTTTCGGATTGACTTTGCCTTGGTATTTGACGTGATGTTTGTTTGTTTGTGCTGTTTTGACCTGGTGACACATTGTTTCTAACTCTGTATAAACTACTACCGTCAGTACCATCCTGGCTTATATATTTAGGTCTAGGTCTTTGAAATCCTTCTGGGTTATCAATGCGTTCAGAAAATATGCTTGGTGACATTCTGACACCCTGGGAGTTTGTTTTGTTACCTCTCTCTTCGTCAGATGATGAGCTCTGTTCTACATTACGTGCTCCTGGGCTTAAATTCCGTGCTTCCGCACTTAATTTGCGTGTTCTTGGGTCAACATTTCGTGCCCCTGGACTAACAATTCGTGCTCCAGGACTAATATTGCGTGCTCCAGTATCAACATTGCGTGCTCCAATATCAACATTCCGTGTTCCAAGACCGTGAGCTCCGTGTCTTTGTAAACCACGATAATTTTCAGTTAAATTCATTTGATTTGGTGATTTTCTATTTACATTGTCTGCATATATTTCATATTCGTACAAATTCTCCTGTTTTTCACTCGGAAAGTACGACTCCCTCCCTTTATTGGGTATAAATTGCATAGATAAATCTTTATTCTGTTGTTGTAAAACCCGTGGTGTCTCTTTATTGCCTGATTCTTTGCTAAAAGGAGAAATTCTGCCGTCTCTGTCTGGCATAAATTCCCCCACATTTTTTCCTTGTGTCAAGGATTCCTCTACGTAAATGTCAGCGTGGTTGACAGCTCGCCTCTCACTACTCGGAGGAGAGTTGATCACAATACTTGGTGTCTGTTTCAGTTTAGGTTTGTATCTATTTCGTGATGTATGTGTTGAGCTGATATGGACCTTTGCTGTTTCCTCATGTTTGGAACTGCCAGGAACTGGAAAATAGGAAACAAAAATAAAATCACGATACATTAATAACTGCATGAGAAAAACAGTGGCCGACATTTCGTGAAATATTGGGGGTGGGAGGATTAGGCTGTCAAGATGTGACCACCTTTTGTTGCATAAAATTTTAGTCCTTTAAACCTTTTTGCCGCAAATTTCATGCAATACATAGCTTAATTTATAGCCTACCGATGCTTAGTTTGATGGTTGAAAAATTATTGTTACAGCTTCGTTAACAGTTATTTAGCTATCATTCAAATGCTTTCAGAAATCCCTCTGCCCCCTCCTAGTGTCCGTCACGTACAGGATGAAAACTATTTAGGGTGAAAAAGCAATGGTTCAAATTAAAACAATTCGCTGTATAGGCAACAAGTCAAATTTAGTGAATTTTAATTTTCGGTTATTAGCCATGCATATTCAAAACTGAGTTGAGCGCTCATCATTAAAATCCAAGTTGCTTTGCAATAATGCGTTTATGTTCAAATTTGGTTATGGCTAGATGACGTCACGACCATGACTGATCGCCTTTGACGCGTGTAAGTTCAGTATTAAAATGTTATTTAGCTTGTGTTACAAACCTGTTGCGGCCATGTTTTGTTGTTTTAATAACCGTGGATTTCAATCGTGGCAGAAGTTTAAAAATTTAATATTTTAAAATGATTTACCATGGTTTAATCTCTCATCTTTATCTTCGTTGAAGACAGTTGTTAAAGGAAGACTCATCGCAGTCGAGATTTTATGTTTACGGTGAGAGGTCTGGGGCAAGGATGATGCGGAGAGTGTTGGCCTGACCGCGTGTTTTATAAGAGGACTGGAGTTTAGTTCTTGGCGTCGTTTAGCCTGAAATTAAAGTTAGTTTACATGATGTTTATATTTTACGCATTACTTTAAGTGGATTTAATTTTATAGTTACGCGTGAGAATTTCGAATGAATATTATAGGTGAATATATACTACTGAGAGAACTTATCACATAAAAATCTTACAAAAAAGTTTAGATAAATGTCTGCACAACAAATAGTGCTTTGTAGTATCTTTATATTGCTCATTCCAATCGTTAGTATATTATCATTTTAATGCGGTATGAAATTTATGAAATTAGACTGGGTTATTGTTGAACTAAAAGTGAAAAGTTAGATTATATATATATACATTACCATGTTAGTTTTTAAATTACTATTTTGAATTGAGAGCTAGCTATCCAGTATAAATAGAAGTAATAGAATTAGTTTACTTCGTGATACACATACCTTTTCTGAACTAAAGTTATGACACGATGAACTGCGCTTCAAGTCTTCCATTGTTAGAGACTCGCTAGATAAAATTAACAAAAATATATTCAATGTAAAGTTTTAGATATTTCTTATATTTCCACTTAAAGTGCGAGGCAACACAAGACATTCTTCTTCCTGTCGTGAAATAACAACTTCTTATCAAATAATGTACAGCGTTGTGGATATAATTAGGTGTCTTGAAATACTGCCGACAGCCACACAATGTGGGCTAAATGTGGTTGCAAAATGTAAGACTAAAATATCGCTAAAATAATAAATAGAATACAATAGCATCTATAAGACTATATACTCTATTGAATTGAAATCTGGTTAGACCAAAACTGTTTACTCTGTTCACAAATCATCGAAAGCACAGCTGCAAAAGCGCCAGTAATTTTCCCTTTATATATACAAAACAACGTTACTTGACACAGCGATTGCCATAAAGGTTCAGTGATGGTCATAAAGCTATACCTTTTAAACAATTTAAGTTTTGCCAAAGGGAGACACATCTTCAACATGTCTGTATGCAACGAAACTAATAATTCATCCCCTGTTTCCACAGCGACAAAACGCTATCAGCTGATGTTAGGCTCCAAATATATGCATATAATAGTTGAATACTTGTCAAATAGATGTTTTAGGTTACAGCTACACGATACAATTGATCACTTTGCGCTCAAATACACCTCAATTTTCAACTTGATAGTATTCATTTATTTATACGAACGTTCTAGTTTCGACCTGAAAATTATTTGAAGCCTAAGATGAACAATATTTTTTAATTTTGAAAGTTAAAGTACTTCCCACATGGAACATCTGCCCTCTATGGATCTAATAACTTTTATTGTTTTTAGAAAGCTTGATGAAATCTCATGAATTATTACTAGAAATTGGATTTTGTGACTATATACATTAGTTAAAACGAATTTTCAATTACTTTGTAATTTAAAAAAAAACGTGGGTAGAAAAAAATAAAATGGAATGAACTTTATTACATACGAGATCATTGGGATTGAATTAAATGCTTCCGGCAGTAAAGTTTATATTTTTCAAACATTACAAGATGATTAATATAATAGTTGCAACAATTGTGGTTGGCGGAGACCAAAAATGAATAAACATTAAGCATATAGGATACGCTTTCTCATGTGTGATTAAAACTGATTAAGTATACACCAGAGTCAAAAACATCAGTTGCTTTTTCGACCAAATTACAGTCTGCTAAATTACAGTCTGCTAAATTACAAATGCTAAATTGGTCGGACATTTTGAAACAATAAGTCAACCATTAAGTTGTGATCACACCACAATGAATGCACAACAGTTAAATTTCAAAACATTATAACTATACACAGTTTAGTCGGTTTATCAGGTTTGTAGACACAATTTTCAATCTCATTAACAGTCTACCATAAAGTGGGTCTTAAAAATGATTTTTCCAAGTTCACCGTAGGCTCGCCCCAGGTGAGAGTATTCTCCCGAGAGTGCGAATCAAACCCATTTCAAGTTCCTGATTAAGCCTTCTTGGCTCAAACTTAAAGTGTGAGATAAACTTAAATAAAACTTCGAGTTTTCACGATTGTGAAAAAATGTTGTTGTAGTTATTAATCAAGTGTTGCTCTGCATCATTAATGTTGAGAAATATATTATGACGAGTGGACAACGACGACGAACGGACAACGACGACGAACAACGACAAGCAATCCGAACAATGGTTGTGCTATATATAGACCACAGATTCTTCAGGCAAACGAAGGACAGATGGCTTTGCAAACGTATACTTACTCTTTGACAACCACAAAAGTATGCATTATTTATACACATTTCTTAATTAAACTCCGTATACAAAATACATATATATGCTACAAAAAAATGAATGTTTTTATTTTTTGTCTAATTTTATAAAGCTATATATAATCTTTATAAAGTTCTATAAAGAGTAAAAGTATTCCTCGATCGATAGAAAAGTTACTAATGAGAAAAATGGGCTGAATAACAGTGATATAATCACCACAAATGTTATTATCGACAATAAAATACAAATGCTTTGACAATCAATGTCAATAAAATATCGCGTAAACTTTGAAATGTTCAAAAACTACAAGTATAGGAAAGTGAGACAAGCACGCGAAGCAAGAGTTTCATGACGGAAAGTCAATTAACAGCTGATAAGATTATGTGCTGAACAAATAACATTTGAAATTACACAGACGTTATCAGTTGATAATATTGTATAGATTACGCTACGGGCGTTACACGTAGTCAAAATATTTGTGAGAAAATTGCAGATGGATAGAGATTCAAATATACTCGAAAAATACAAATAAAATTTCGACGCTGAAGGCCTTTCGTCAGGACGTTCGTAGGCTCAGAGTTTGCTACAGAGTAAGCTACACTCCAGAATGTACTACTATGTCTATCTGTGCTTCGCCTGCAAAGACCGTTCGAGTTTCTATCACTTGTGATAATATTACATATCAGATAAAATTTCGGCAACTTATTTATACTGGATGCCTACATATTTTTTTATTAAAAAGTAAATATCACATACCTGTGTTGTCTGAGATAAGCTTTATCGCGTCCGTCTGGAGTTTCTTCACTAGGTACCAGGCCGTTGATACTTGACGCGCGCCTCTGTCGCATGCTTCGTGTCATTGAGCCAACGAGACGTTTGAATATTGACTCTGGTCTCTGTTAAAAAAAGGTGAATTACTTTAATGAGCTCTTAGATCACAGTTTCATTTCTACAGATATATTCCAATTAGAATAACTATAATGTAGATATATTCCAATTAGAATAAAAATAAGGTGGATATATTCCAATTAGAATAACTATAATGTAAATATATTCCACTTAGAATAAAAATAAGGTGGATATATTCCAATTAGAATAACTATAATGTAAATATATTCCAATTAGAATAAAAATAAGGTGGATATATTCCAATTAGAATAACTATAATGTAAATATATTCCAATTAGAATAAAAATAAGGTGGATATATTCCAATTAGAATAACTATAATGTAAATATATTCCAATTAGAATAAAAATAAGGTGGATATATTCCAATTAGAATAACTATAAGGTGGACATATTCCAATTAGAATAATTATAAGGTTAGCTAGAACAATTAGAACATCCTTGACTACCAAAAAACTGTACCTGTCTTCTGAATTCATCATCATCCAGAATGTCAAATTGTTTTCTTCTCTTGTTTTGTCTGTAGTTTTCAACCATGAGTTTAGCACAGTAGATCTTGCCCACCGTCATTTGATGACAACTTAACACTGAAACATGATTCGAAATAAGTGTTGATCACGTGGGTTGGATTCTTGCTGCGGACTCATGACACTTGTGTGAAAAGAGTCAGTGAACGTTCTACCAAAAGTCGTGGGTTTTCTCCAGGTACACCGGTTTTCTCCCACGGGTGGGTAGGAATTGACCCCCTATACTGACTCTTCCACCGTAGCTGTGCCCAGTGATCAGAAATAAGTCATAAGATGGCTGCCAGAGGCACCTAGCTTAGAAAGTCGATAAGGTTTGAGCTGCGTCCTTCACAATTCAGCTTAGCTCTCAGCTGCAAGTAAGGATCATTAGCACACCCCAACTACTTGGAACAGGTTATTTCGCTGGCCTCAGAGTGACAAAACGTAACAATCAACAGTTTTACTAACAGTAATCTAACACTAATCCTAACCCTACTCGTAACCTAACTCTACTCCAAGTTTGTTTCTAAACCAATCTTGAAGAAAAAATTTTTGACGAAATGTCATTTTGTAGCCCGCTTGCCGCCTGGAATTTCCAAGGGGGATAATTATCCCCCCTTGGAAATTCCAGGCGGCAAGCAGGTTAGTCATTCCGAGATCAGCGAAATAACGTATACCCACTTCTTACCCGATTGTTTGGGAATCATTTTATCGAGGACTCGTGGCATAATGTTGGGCCAATCTTGAGTAATCATCTTTCTCAATTTCGTGTCGTTCGCATTCATATTTCCCGTCATTCTGATCTGCAGTGACGTTCGTACGAGGGCGAACAATGTTGTCGTGAACTGGATTGTTTCGTTTTCATCCAACGGCATGTTCATCTTGATGAGACGCTGAAATAGGAGAAATTTATGATTATAAGTGGAAAATAATAAAATATCGGCTAAAAGGCATGGATGTGTGAATATCATGATT